CGCTCAGCAGCACGACCTCCACGCACGTGAGTCCCGGGGGGAAAAAAAAAAAAAAAAGATCTCCGAGCTGCTCTGCTCCTTCACCTCGCTCTTCTCGCACGCATGAAAGAACGCGCTCGTCAAAACCCGCGGCGCCGCACTCCATCTCTTTCTCTTTTTTCTCCTCTCTTTCACAAACCTTCATTCAACAACTCGCATCTCTCACATCTTTGAACTGAAGTGCAAAAAAAAAGTGTGTGTGAATACAAACAAACCAAAGCACAGCAATTAAGCGTTTTCAGCAGCAAATCTCTCTGTTCCTTTTATCAATCCTCTGCTGCGTTAATTATCTGTAAAATGTGTGCATTCTGACCTTGTGCCGAGTCAGTTCTTACAGCCAGATAATCTATCGCTGATGCTCGGGTGCACCTGTGGAGGGTCGCGCTCGTTCACTGAAAGAACAAAACACAGCAGATCTTTATTTTATTTATTTTTGTTCTCATTAAGACGGGAGCCGTTCTTCAGGCTAATTCAGTTCTATTAACCTCACAGAACAAGGTCACCATGTTACCTGATGCATTCCTGCTAATTAAAACATCTCTTTTGGGGGTGGGTAAACAAAAATTCAACAATAGGAAAAAATTCAATATTCCTTCAAAAATCACCTGGCAGAAAACCTTCAGCTTCCAGGATAATGAATCAGAGGAGGAAGCACCAAGGCTGCGCATTATAAAACACTCTTCCCATTATTCTTTAGATCATGTCACTTAAAAACACAAGGGCCGAGTGGAGAAACGATTCACTTCCTACCCTCTGCGTTGATGTTTAAAATCAAGGCTGCACATTTAAATAAGACGGAATGTTTGAAACGTTGAAAAAAGTGCGAATAAATTAATAAAGCTGCTGTTTATTATCGACGCGGCGCTTAAATGAAACTACCAGGGCACCGAGGCAGCTCCAACTTCTTTTTCAAATTTTAACAAAAAAAAATGTCTCCTCCTCCTTTATTAGCTGTAGTGTCCGGTGTCTCAAAATGTCCTCAGTCCTGTCTCTGTCCCCCCGTCCCTTGTTGTCCTGTGATGTAATGACATCTGACAAGCTCCACTGTAGGGATGGAGGGAGAGAGGGGTGGCTGTTATTGTTCCTGTTGTCTCTGAGTCCTCCCTCTCTTCACTATTTACTGTTGCAACCAAATGTCTAAATAATAATAATAATAATAAATAAGGTAAAGGAGATCATTTCCTTTTTTTTCTTTTTGTTTTTCCAACTTGTGTTCTGGTTTGTGTCTCGTGTTTCAGTGCAGCTTTGAAGTGAGTCTGCAGAAATTATACAACTCCTGAATGATGCCAATAAAGGGCTTCCCTGTGTGTGTGAGTCTGCCTGTGTGTGTGTGTGTGTGTGTGTGTTAAAGACGAAGACAGTTTGCTATTTTCAGTCTGCTCGCAGACTCTTGGTCTTCTGTTATTGGCTATCAGCCCAAAACGGTAGAAAAAAAACTTAAAGGGAGTGAGAGAGAGACTTGAATGAGAAATGAATGTTGCTGGGAAAGAAGGCAGGATTATAGAGGAGGAGGAGGAGGAGGAGGAGGAGGAGTGGGGGGCGAAACAAAATTACTTGTTTCAGAGCAATGAAC